GACTATCAATCTTTAGTTAATCACATATTGCATAATATTTTGGCACGCTCTGTTTAAATTAATTTCATATAATAAGTAATAAATTTACATATACCTAGGTGAGTTGTAATGATATGTATAAACCAAAAAAGGACTATATACTTTATCTGATTCAGATTGAATTCAATTTTTTATATACCTCTGTTATAACACTTCGTTCCTTACGTTTAATTTCTTCAATTCGTTTTGTATTTTTGTTGTTTATTTTTACTATTCGTTCCTGTTTTCAATTTTCAGACTCGACTATAATAAACAGTTTATCGTCCTTGGAACATAAATAACTATTTTAATAAGAATATAGATGCCATAATTATGTCCAATGAATAATGATAGTCAGAAATTACGTCTGAATGCTTTCAAATTTCCCAGACAATTTCACAAATGCCACTCGCTAGGTAAGAAGCTCAAACACTCTTTTTGGGGCGAGAATCCTTCTGCCACAGTTTAAGGAATACAAGTACAAGTATTCCTTAAACTGTACTTCTGCGGGATCGGCAGCAGTACGTACTGTATCAGAATAAATAAGAAAAGAATAATTCAAACAGAGATTAGACATCTGGGTTTCAGACAGCCTGATATCTATGTCCAATAGGTGTACACTGATTGGTGTGCAGGTGGTTCAAGATACAGGATTCTGATCTCCCTGTATCCTGTTTTCATTAATGGAATGATATTAAAATGATTGGAAAAGAAGATAACAACCAGAAGAGAAAAATCAAGGAATCTGTTGCATTCTTATGAACGGAGATAATAGCATTGCTTCCTGTTCAGTTGATATAGATAGAACATGGTATTGGTAGGTTGGATGGTGACAGATGCATTGTGACCTAATTAGATCTATTGTGCCCCATCTGCTTCTGCTATATCAAGGATTTCTTGTTCATAGCAGCCCCTCAAGATTCAATTCCTTCAGGATTTTTAGGATTTTGAGGAAATCTAGTTGTGGTATTTCTTCCACAGTCAGCTGGTGTGTATGTTCAATATTTTGTGATGTACAGCGTCACACTCCATCTTCCTCGCAGAATCTGCAGGTGCCGTCCTCCTGTAAGCCTAGTTTTCTTTGGTGTTCTTTGAGTCTTTGCTGAGGTTTATCAGTGTCTTTCTAGAACATGGTATTCACTACTGAAATCTGAAATTGAAAATAGTAAATTCAAGATTAATTAATGAAAACATCCTGTAACTCATTTGATTGCCAACGTCACCAATGGTCGTGTACACCTCAATAGAACTTTTAACTCAAACCATGTTTATAATGATCATTTTATACATAAGTAATGATTGACGACATAATTCGATCGAAAAATTAACTGGAATGTTTTATTTTTGGACATAAATAATAGTACCTTCTGAAAACGGATCCTCTTATGACGTAGAAACCACATCTCGCCATAGTTAAGAAAAATTACCAAACGCTCGACGGAGACTGAGGCAACTGATATATTAATTCTTTCAACTGTGATCTCGCGCTAATTCACTCTGTCAGAAATCATGAATCATTCATCTCTGTCTGGAATAGTCTTGTTTCAGTATTAGGGTTTTGACGTCACATCATCGCCTCGTTTTCAGAGGTCCGAAAAATCGGGGATTCCAATAATTTTTCATAAAACGTAGGGAGCTCACAGCAAGAAACGGTTTGCGATGTTGAGCTAGTTTGGGTGAGCTCTATCGAATTATGAAATAATTTTTTTTTGTGATATAAGCCCATTGTCACTGAGAACTGAAAAGTGTCAAGACAAATACGAATTTGCTATGCAAATATCCATTTTTATGTTGAAATCGGGAGCAGATTCGTTCCGGAAACGTCCAAAGCTAAGTGGAAATTTGGTATTATTTCAATATGCCATTATTTCTCTTCTCCAAACCTTTTTCAATACAAATTGTCACTGACCAGGGGCCGATCCAGACGATGTTTGAGGGGGGGGGCCATAGAAAGTCATGGCTCAATAAGGTTAGCGCGGAAGAGAAATTATATGAGACAAATGCTTTTTCATTAAAAAAACTGATCATAGTACACATCGAAATTACTGGTGTAAAAAAATTTTGATTCCATCAATGTATATAGAATTCTGTAATAAATCATATTGGATAAAAGAAGTGAATGAGAAAATATTTCTGTTGAAAAACTTGGGTACAAAAGTGAATGAAAATATTTCTCTTCAAAAATAAAACAAATGAAACATACAAAAATAAAAATATATATCTTCTGCCTAGCTTATCTTTGGATGATATCATCAACATTCAGACTGCTGCAGATGACCCTGTGAATATGCATTAATGCCAATCCATTTAACCAGTCTTGGACCATTCTGGATCTTATTCAATTTTTCAGCCTTCTGAGTGTTGAAAAACTTCTTTCAGAAGATGCAACACTTACAGGTAGGCAACAAAATAGTTCTATAGAAAGATGTTTATGTTAGGAAATAAATGTTTGTTACATTCCTTCAGGGCAGTTATACCATTGTTTGGTATATTTTGCTTAGTATCCCTCATTTTCTTCCATACATACATTTCAGAAACGATCTTCTGGAAGGACATTTCATCATTCTCCCCAAAACTGTTCAAGTATATTTCCCATACCTCATAAATTTCCTCATCTGTTCTGTTTTTAGTTATTGAAATGGCACACAAAGGTGGAGGCTGTATAGATTCAATTCATTTTCTGATATTCGTTCTTTCAGATCAATAATAATACTGGGATGAAAACAGTTATTCTGTAATGGTCATCCACTGAGGAAACCGTAGGATTTGGTCTATGAACCATTCTCCCTGTTATTCTCTGCATCGAAAATTCAACATTCAGTTCTTTCAATTTATGTTTGGCTGCATTCGAAATACTTAGATAATAGTAGGTATTTAGAATATCATCTCTTTTATCTGGAAGCGTCTGTGGCAGTGTAATCGAAAATATATCTGCCAAACAGCAGAGTGTAATTACAAATTCGCAATTCCTTAAAGCTGTTGCAAAGTTTCTAGCTATAAAGACATACACTAAATTTTCATTAATTCAAAATACCTACATTTTTACATGTCCATGAGGTGCTCGAGGGGGGGGGGGGCATGGCCCCATGCCCCCCCCCTGGATCCGCCCCTGTCACTGACAAGCTAGTGAATTTTTCTTTCAGGCTGCCTGATAGGAAAATTCATAGAACGCAGTGTTATTTTGGGGCAAATCATCTGATTTGTCATTACTACACCTAAATTGAAATAATATTCATAATTTTATTTTATAGAAATGAGGAGAGAAAATCCCAAAAAATCTGGTATAATGAATAATATGTATTCTCTGAGACGGGAGCAAAGTTCCCTCTGGATGCACGCCAATGACAGTGACAGGCGTGTCCGCGTATGCATAATTTCAGATTATTTATATGTATATACGGGTACGGGCTTCGAAAAAACTATTCGTGAACTTTTCCACATCCGAATTTCGTAGACGTGAATGACCTCGCGTAGCACTTCTTCTGATATTACTCTGCCCAATTGGCCAGCCCAACGTTGGAAATGCGAATTGTGCGTGAGATGGTAGCCAGTGGCGTACGATCAAGGAATAAAAAATTAAAAGTTGATGTCCGATCCATCGTGAAAGCTGTTTCACAAAGTCTCGGATTCTTTCTTGTTCAGTGCGAAAATCTATACTTTACACCTCAATAGCTTCTGATGATATACAAAGCACAGATACGGCCAGTTTTGGAAGACTGTTCTCATGTATGGGGTTCAGCACCCAAACATACGCTGATGCTGTTAGATTCTGTCCAGAAAAGACCCATTCGCCTGGTGGGTCACACTGACTTACTCTTTGACCCCATTAAAACACCGTTAGAAAAGTCGGCGACCTTCCACTTTTCTATAGATATTTCCACGGGAAATGTTCACTAGGAATCTCTGCTATAATTCCATCAACAGCAATACCTGTCAGACAAACTCGACAGGCCCAGTCAGCACATCCCTTCGTCGTCAACCTCAAAAAAATGTCAACCAACACTCTAAGAAATTATAATTATAAAGTGTTGTGTAAAAAAAATCCGAATGTTCAAACTGATCAACAGTATAGGTGTAGGTACTGTTTGGATTCCAATATTCAAGTTTGGCCAAATAGAAATTGTTATTTCAACCTACTTTTTCTCTTGCATTCATTAAATGGACATTTTTTCAAAGAAGTGACAAGAGTCAAAAATGTAATTTGATATATCATGCGAACTTATCATCAGCTTAGGAGTTTTTTTTAACTGTAAAAACACAAGAGCTTTTTTTTCGGATAAATTCCACTTGATAACGAGAAACATTTGCCGATCAGTAATTTTACGAGAAGAACTGACACGAAGAAATTGCGGGACCGTAGGTCGAGCAGTTTTTCGAGAGAAATAACTAATGGGAAATGTTTGAGTTAGTAAGGAAATTTATCCAATAAAAAAAAGTTCGAGAGTTTTTTGGCAAGATAAATCAACGACAATATACAAATAAGCAACAATAATGATTACTTTTATTGACTGGTAGTTTGCGGAATTGATTTTCTCATATTCTAGTGGTTTCTTCAGACGAAATTTTCCTAAAACGGCTCTCATCTTGCTAATTTACGCGTGAACCATGCCCATCAATCAAACTTGACACTTTTCAATAAATAATGTTATCCTACTTCTGCTAGAATTATTATACCTAGAAAGAAGGTGAAGGTAAATATCCCGTATTACACTGGAACAAAATTATGCATGACGAGATTGCGATACATTTGCGAGACTCTCGTACGAGACGCGAGAAAAGACGAGACTGGAGGCTGCGAGACGAGACTCGAGACAAGACTTCATATTTCATCGGCGAGACGAGACGAGACTTTATGAAAGTCTCGTCTCGTTGGTCTCGTGTAAATCACTATCAAATAGCGTTTTCCGTGTAGGAGTTGACTTATCGATGAAAATTACTGATAATTGTAGGGTTCGCTTTTCAAAACAAAACTTTTTTTTCAGTTCAAAGAGGCTGCTTTGCGTGCTGTGAACCCTCACATTTTCACCATTGCAACTCTGACTGGCCATGCTTGCCGTACTGTTGGACTAGGTTATACCATAAGTAAGTAACATTTGATCTCTCAGGTCTACAAAACAATCAATCGTTATCAATCAATATGAAAACTTCCATATCTGAAATGGATAACTAGTTCCATATTTCCTAAACCAAAAATATCATCATTATCGGCTGATGTTTCTTGAATGCAACACCCTGTATGTTATGTCATACCTAGGGTCTATCATGAAAATTCTGAAGATATTGTATTGCCACCAAAATTACCAGAACTGAATCCACTGGATCATTCCATCTGATTCGGACAGATGTACTTGATGACAGTACTCAAGAAATTGGAAAATATCCTCGCTGAATTCATTTCTCTGAGAAATTTTGCGTATTTCTATCTCGAATCAATATCAGATATTCTATAGAATTCAGGTCTGACGATCTCTCTGGCCATCCACGCTCTCCAGGTATCTCCAAAATACAGATATTGTCTAGAAGTACAAATGCTTATGAATTAACTCTCGTTCATTTCAAGATCTTTAATCATAAATTGAATTTTCCAAATTGAAACATTCAGTGAATTTTAGTTTCGATCAGGTCAGCGGAGTTCATAGACGTCAGTTCCTTTATAATTTGCAAAAAAAAACGCTTACCGTGCGATAATACCTAGGTAAGCAGTATCGAAAGGCAACGACCATTCCCATTGCGGAAAATTGCGAATCTAGCATCGATTCCGAATATAAATAGTACCCGAGTCGATAAGGCATAATTCCTAATCAATACAAGTCAATAGTAATTATCAATTGAAAATGTTCCGACTCCTCGACTCCAAGCCTGCTGGTCAACCTCCTGCTAGACATTGTAATGTGAGTACTGTTTTTTTCCAGTGTTGTTTTGAGTTGTGTTTATTTGGCAATCCATTATGTTCTTTTTCCTTTGCTAACCTGCCATATGGCAGCATTCATTCATGACTTCTTCATTCAATCAATATATGTTAATTTTATATGAAAACTGTCCGGTCTCTTCATGTTGGGATCAATATGGTTAGGTGGTGAAATAACCAAAACCTCTCATCAAAAAACCAAGCGAGTAGCTAAGTTACGAACTATAGGAAGGTCAACATCTGATGAGTTGCGACAATATCAAGAATGATATCTCCTTAGAATTATCTTCCCTAGAATACGAATTCGAATATAATTGTCGGTGTTGTTATTGCTGGCGTACTGTATGATGAAAATTTTCAGGTTTTCTTGCTTCAGAAAATATTAAATTCATTCTCTCATTCACAAAACATCCTGTGTAAAATATGAAGGGAATGTGTATCGTCTTGCGATCACCTCATAATAACAGAACTGTTACAACAAGCTGTTGATATCTCACAGGCATCGCAAACAGTTGGAGTTTCAAATTCAAGGCCGTCTATTTCCAATCAAAAACGACATTAATCGTTAATAAAAATGAAATTGTTGTTTTGCACTTCTCCGGTTCATAGTAAATTCAGAATCGCGATGGTGTCACCGAAGCGAATTCGCTGCATTAGTCTTGTTTACCGTCTAGTAATATGTAAATGAACTGAAATAGTGTCCAAATAGAAAACGAGTGTGATGGTCAGATTGTTGTACCTGAAGGAAAAGTGTTCCCAGAGGAGGTAGTTACTAGGCAAGAGCTATAATACCTCCTCGTGGACTAGGTCGCCTACTAGGTTTTAATTCAGATCGACAATGATCTCACAAAGAAGAGAATGATCCCAATCAATACCAATGTTCATTGCACTAAAGCCGTTTGCCTTTGTTGACTATCTTCTTTTATGAAGGATCACTCTCCTTATTCCAATTCTTAATTTTGTACTACTCAAACAATGGCACAAGATTGCCAAAATTGATAAAATCAACATGAGAGAAGCTAACTGAGCCTACCAAGATCACATGATCAATTATCATGGCATACATAACTCACGCAAAGATATGATATCATCTGTTCATCAAGTAAAACAGGATCATATCCGTGGAATACCGACAGCTAAAAGAAAAATTATTCTAAAATTGTTCATTCGGCTGCCCCCTTACCAGCAACCCTCAGAAGTCTTCAAGAAACTTGTGCGAGCAAGGAATGACGGGGGCCTTACCTTTTAACGTGTTATCCCAAACACTTTCTTGGGTCATCAGAAAAATGTCTGCAGTCGTTTGGATTCGAATCCACGACCAGCAAGCTACCGCGATTAAGAAACTAACATAGCCCTATAACCTAATTATCATATTCTCAAAGAACTTCGAACGCTGACAGAGCTGACCTATACATTTGAGAAAAAGAAAAAACAAAAAAAAACGTAGGTATCAGGAAGACCAACTCACTGAGTTGAGCACCAGCACTAAGTAGTCCATACTAGTAACGCTCTGCCCTACCTTGGGCGCCAAAATCCTTGAAGGTATTCAATAGAGAATAGAAAACATAAGTAGGTACATCTTCTAATTGTGTGTTATAGTAGTTATCAAGTCTCACCTATTGAAGAATGTAGGTACTGAAAGTCCTATTTCAATCCTGCCGTTTGATCTTATGACCTATATAAATGAGATCATATGAGACAGCAACCATGAATTACCTTGTTCTTTGCTTCCGAGCCAGATTTAGGATAATCGTTTTTTGTGAATAACAACGGTACTTCTGGTCATAATTTGGTAAGTAAGTGTAATTTGCTATATTTGGTGAGTACAAGCAGTAGGTACATAATTCAATAGGAAAATGAGGACGAATAGCGGACCAATACACATAATTTCACTGGAAGATATCAGCTCGGCTGAGCTTCATATTTTCCAATCTCGAATAAGAATACTTACATTAGTCATTTAGCTAAAACCAATGAAAAACATTGTCATATTAACTGCGGCGCCTCTACAAAAAAGTGAATCTAGGAAGAGGAAAGGTTTCATTATCCAAAAATGATGTACAGGGTGTCCTTACTGAATGTGTGACACCCCTTTATCCTCGTAATTCTCAACATATTTTGGCAATTCAAAAACAAGTCTAGACTATTCTCTTACGAATTTTTGGAATCTGAGCTAACTTTTTCTTTATGCCAACAAAATACTGGGTGGCCAAAGAAAAAAATTTTCGCTTCTGGTTTGATCGAAAATGACCAATATTTTGATATTTTGAATGAGACACCCGGTATATTGTTACTTCTTTCCGATAGAGAACAACATTGTGAGTATGATGACACCCCATTTGCTTCTTTTCTATTAGATCTAAGTTTTATGTCTTGTTAGTTAATTAGTGTTGGTATTGTTTTTGCCCTCTTCATGGAAAAATCAGAAGAAATATTTCTTCAATTGTAACTTTTTTATATGAAAAATCCATAGCCCACTGTTAAAATTCAATGTTTAAGTGATTTTCGAGCATTTTTTGAAATTTATCATTCAAACATTATATATCATTTGGAAGTGAAAGAAAAAAATGAGTACGCCACTGGATCCTGCGTAAAATTCTCTATGAGATCAGATTTCAATCAGGCATTTTCGCTAAGAAACTTCGTAGATATAGAGGGGGTTCAGAAAGTATAAATTTTTAAAATCGCACTGAAAACATTTGAAAACCGCAAAATTTTATCTCCAAAGATAACTGAGATAAAGCATTCAAAACTGGACACACTGTACAATCGATATAATAAGTTGAAGTTGAAGGGAATTGAATCTATAGCGTTTTGAAATTAGCAAGTCGTGACGTATTTTGGTCCCGAATTGTATAGCTATCTCTCTCTGATACCTTCCCATGCTGCAGTGTCGCAGTGTGATTGGTCAGCTCAAGGACAATGGGCGTGTTGGGAGTAATACGTCACACCAATCACGCCAATGAATTGACACCATTTCAAATAGCACAAAAAGTGTATGTTTTGAAATGAACATATCTTAATCCATTTATTTTCATCGTCCTAGTATAAATTGACAGAATTCGAAATTATATTCACTGGTAGTTTTTTGGTATAAAGCTCACGATGATGTCATATTTAGGTCGAATTTTCTCGAATGAAAGGGGCCGAACAAAATCTTCCATCATGCGGAGTTGACAGTATCCTACGATATATTTATTGATGTTGGAATTGCGTTTCTTACAGTTAGACGAGCTATTTTTACCGAGGAGTATTCATTCGTGCAACTAATTTCAAAAAAAAAGTGCTCGTATGACCCCTTTGGAAAGGCTGACCGTTATTACTAGGCGTGCCGAGTGAAATAGACCAATTTCTTTTCGAAGAAACGCGAATTGACCCAAGTTAATCTTCGATTATACAGGGTGTCCGGAAATTATGCGCAAAATATCAAGGGGGAGATTCTGCATGAGAAAACATGAAATTCATCACATATATTCTTGGGTCGGGAAATGCATAGTTTTCAAGATACAGTGTGTTAAACTTTTTAGAAAAAAATCGGTTTTTCATGATTATCTCAAATATCTTTCCACCGATTCTCTTGAATTTTGGCAATGATATTCTTTGTCATGAGGGGCTGATTTAGCTATGATAATATTGGAATCGTGAAATCCAGTGGCGTCCCGAGAGCACCATATCGAAAATTTTTGTCAATAGAATGTGCCCCACTGATTTTTTAATTCTATATCTTCATATCCTAATGATTAACTAAAAATACAACATTTTGGTTTCTTGAATTGTTTTGCTATTTTGCTGTTTTCCGTGAAAGAAAATAAATATCAATTCATAAAATAAGAATGAAGATTAATTTTCTTCAGATATTCTATAATACATGTTTGACACACTTTTTTTATCAAAAACTACGCCTGTCAAACATGTATCAAGAAATATTTGAAGAAAATGAATCGTCATACTCATTTTATGTCTATGGACATATTGATCACCCATTTATTTCAACCCCAGTTTCTGAAGGAATTTTTTGGAACAAATTAATGCAATAAATTGGTATTTATTTTTTTCCATGGAACTGAAGCAAATTATCAAAACAATTCATGAGACCAAAATGTTGTATTTTTATTTGGTCAATAGGTTATGAAGATACAGAATTCAAAAAAATCAGTGGCGCACATTTTATTGACAATAATATTCGGTAGATTGCCCCCCCGGAACGCCACTGGATTCCACAATCCCAATTGAATTATGACTATATCAGCTCCTTATGGCAAGAAATTTAATTGTCAAATTTCAATAAAATTGGTGAAAGGACATTTGAGATATTCATAAAAAACCGATCTTTTCTCAAAAGTTTTAACATATTGTAGGTTGAAAACTATGCGATTCTGGACCCACGTACATATGGATTTGATTTCTTATTTTATCATGTAGAATCACCCCCTTGATTTTTTGCGCATAATTTCTGGACACCCTGTATATGCAAATGAAATGCAAGCCGAAATTGACTATCAACACCAGCCAACTATGTTATTGTTCACTAAGATGTTATTTTTTTCTTTTCAAATATGTTCCAGTCATCAATTTTCTTATTTTGTATGGGGTGTTTGAAGAATAATTTCGATTTCCTATTTGTCACTTTGTCAAGTATTTTTTCGACTTGTGAAAAAAATATCGATCTTTATATTTCCTATATCCCTATACATCTCTGTGATATGTTATCTATGTGAAAAATAAATGGGAACAGAATGAACCGGAGTGGAATCGTACTATACGTTCGCTAGATATGATGATTTTGATTTATCGCATGAAAAACATAGTTTTCCTATATCTGTGTTAATTTTTGGGACATTTTTTTTTCAAATATATTCCAGTGATCAATTTTTTCATTTTGTAGGTGGTCTTTGAGAGATGATTTCGTCTCACTATTTGTCTCTGTCAATTATTTTTCGACTTGTGAGAGAATATCGAATTTTATTTTGCTTGATTATTTGAGATTTTCTCTTCTTGTTTCTATGAAATAAAAATATGAGTATTATCTCAATATAATAATATGTGTAGTAGGACGAATCAGATGATTTGCCACAAAATGTCACTGCGTTAAATGAATTTTTCTATCAGGGAGCCTAAAACAAAAATCCAATAGATTTGCAAAAATGTTTGAAGAGAAGAAATATAAATATATTGAAAATATCGTATCTTTGGACGATTCAGGAACTAATCTGTCCCGTCCTCAACATAAAAATGCAAAATATTTTTTCTACAAGCGTGCGTGATTCACCCTATACCCGCACGCAATTTAGTTTGGGAAGTGTCATTTTCCCGCAACAGTGCGGGAAAATTTTCCCACACTAGTGCGGGAAATTTTTTCCCGCACTAGTGCGGGAAAACAAAGATATGATAAAATCGCTAGTAATATAAGTGGTTGGTGATGGGATATAAAAGTTTAAGTTTGTTTGTTGCAGTATTAAGTATGTATGTTCAGAATCATCCATCAAATTGCACTATTTATTGTAAAAATTAAGAAATATTGAGAAATGAAAATTGATTATTATAAAAATCCCCCTATAGATTTGGATTGATCTGACGAGAAACGTCAATTTGTCATGCCAATCAAACCTCAAATAAGTTTGAAATTGTCGAAGTGACAGACACAGTGTTACTGTCATTTTCGATTCAGTGGAAATGCCACAATGTGATCAAAAACTTCTAGCTATAGGGATTTGATACAGATGCGTTATCACCAACGAAGTCTTAAGAAAGGTATGAGAAGCTATACACGCGTTTTATTGAATGGTGCAACAATAAAGAAATGAAAAAAACGAATGAAGAATACGTATTTTTGGCTCATTTCATAGAAGTGTCTAGAACCTAGAGACCAAACTCCTAACGGGCCTGCTGGCTTCCGCAATGAACCAACATAATGCGTCAAACTGTAAGTTCACAATAGCTATTACTAATAATTAATAGATAGAGAATATATATCTCTTGTTAGTTGTTCCTATTTGCTTGAATAATTAATTGAACGATTCAATCAATTTCCTATATACGCTTGTAGAAAAAATATTGTTCCTAACTCATGCGGAAAGTTTCTTTCCCGCACTCGACTGCTTGCCCGAACTCCGCTTCGCGTCGTTCGTGTCAACGGCAGTCACGTGCGGGAAAGAATCACTTTCCGCACTTGTTAGGAAAATTACTATTTCTTCGGCAGTTCTCTTCTAGTTTGACACATCTCAGTGTCATTCTGATGTTGGCAATAAGCCCAGTCAGCACATCCTTTCGTTATCAACCTTGAAATATGTCGAACATCACTTTCCCAAAGTTCGTTTGTCTATAGAACGGCAAAGCTTTGAAATTCCTTACCAATGGAATTATCTTTTTTTCATTTTCACTATTTTTTCGTTCAGTCATGGACAACGGCCCTGCACGGAACGTCAACACGAACAGAATTCTACAGGAGGCCTCCGAAAAAATTGCCGATCCCTTCGAAATCTCCACGATTCGTCGTGAGGACTTCGCCAATCACAAGGGGATCATGGAGGGAGATGACGTCATCCAAAGTCAGGCCAAACCATCGATTCAAGTGTCGAGAGGTCACCAAGGTAAGCATTATCTATATACAGGGTGTTTCATAATTGAATGCTGATCCTAAAGGGCGATGATCCTTGGATGATTTTAAGGAGAGAAGTTCATATCAACATATGTCCTGAACCTCTCAGTTTTAGAACTACAGGGTGTTGAAATCAGAAGCGTACAGCGTTTTTTTAAACAAAACATTCAATATCAGGTCTACGAGTACATCACTGGTAAAAGTAAAAGTTTGATTTTCGTCCCAAAACGAAATGTGTTTCCACTTATAGTGGGTGTCTACTGAATTACCAAAAACAATATCCAAGAACTGAAGGAACGAAATTCTTTGGTTTTTATTTTTTTACGCGAAAACGGTACCTACGTTGTATAAAAGTAAGTCTAGGAACCAAATTTGCTCCAAAATGAATAAGAATTGGAAAAACAATCTGGTTCTCAGAAAAATCAGTGGCGTACTATTTTTTTCTTCAAAAATTGTCAGTTCAAACCCCTTACGGACGCCACTGGTGGAAATTTTTAAATATCTTTCACGTAAAAAATGCTCCTTGATAATGAAAAGGTGTATACGAAATATCATAACAATATCTAAGAGTGTGAAAAAATTATGATGGAAAACTCATTTTTTTCTTGAAATTTCATCACCCTGTAGCTCAATAACTAAGAGGTTTAGGACATATGTTGATATGAACTTTTCTCTTTGAAATCATCCAAGGATTATCGCCCTTAAGGATCAGCATTCAATTATGAAACACCCTGTATACAGGGTGGGCCACCAGTAACGCCTCGGTCTCTAGAAGGCTAACCACGTATCTTCTTGGAATTCTTCCTCTCTAGGAAGTTGCATGTCAACATAGGCTACCATTTGAAATTATTTTGAAACATACAGGATGTCCCCAAAAATCACAAAACACTGAAGTTGAACTTTTTTCAATCGAACACCCATCATACTTGGGGTCTAGCAGTTCTAATTACTGAAATATAGGGTGAGAAAAGTCGAGATTTTCCAAGTTCAAGAATTTTTTGTGTCGAAACTATTCATAATTGGTCAAAACGGCTTACATGTCCCTATCTCAACTTCTGATCAACTATCTACTGACATTTGATTGAAACAAATACAGCGTGGTGCAGAATTCAGGATCTTGATCACCCGGTATATGTCCCAATTATTTATCAGTAGATAGTTAATCAGAAGTTGAGATAGGGACATGTAAGCCGTTTTGACCAATTATGAATAGTTTCGACACAAAAAATTCTTGAACTTGGAAAATCTCGATTTTTCACACCCTATATTTCAGTAATTATTATAACTGCTAGACCCCAAGTATGATGGGTCGTTGAAATCAGCTCATCAGGGAGAATCTCAAAATGAAATAATATATAGGGTGTTCGATAGAAAAAAGTTTAACTTCAGTGTTTTATGGTTTTTGGGGACACCCTGTATGTTTCGAAATAATTTTAAATGGTAGCCTATGTTGACATGCAACTTCCTAGAGAGGAAGAATTCCAAGAAGATAAGTGGTTAGCCTTCTAGAGACCGAGGCGTTACTGGTGGCCCACCCTGTATATATATAGAGTGTTATTTGGGTAAGTGGCCAAACTTCAAATGGTGAGTTTTTGGGTTATCCAAGACGGAAAGTATTCATACAGTGCTTTTCTTCAATGTCCCCCCTCCTTTTATTTTTTGATCATGTCGACTGAAAAAATTGAAACTGGGGGTAATGGAGTGAATACTATATTTTGGAGTGAAATTGACATGAAATATACAGGGTGTCCCTAAATTAGCCTGCTAAACTCATCCTGCGGCTTCTACGACCAAAAATAGGAAGAAATGTCTCTTGAGGGAGCTACGGCCCTCTTATGAGAGGGGTCTCCTGAAGATGATATTCCTAGAATATTTTCGAAACGCCATATATGATAAAATGATGTGTTTTGGTTTGAGTACTAAACTATCTGTGCCCAATGGATCGAAAATAAAATCATTCCAAAATTTCATTCAGGAGTGTATAGTATGAGGTTGAACTACATTAAATATTGCTTAAACTTTTGTATATGCATATTTCTGGACAATTCGATCTCGGAATATGAAAATCCACATCATCTCACAGAAATAAGGTGCTTTTCTTTGGTATCGATCATTTTCGAGTGAAATAGATTTAAAAATATCGTTTCACTCACATCTCCTACATAACGTTGCCAAATTTCAAATCATAGTGGTTATAAAGAAAATCAACTACTTCATTTCGACCAAACAATCTCATAGAAGCGCGTAAAATAGAAATATGATGATAAAAAACTACTAATATTTGTGCTTTTTTTAATTTTCACTATAGTTACGATTGTTTTGTTTTTATTTTTTGAAGCCCACGAAAGGAAAACTAGTCTATATATAATGTTCGAGGAACATCGCGAATAATATTTGAGATGTCACAAAATGTTCAAAAAGATTTTACTCGAAAATGATACGTCTGGTCGATACGGACCAAGTGTACCTTTTTCCATCAAAGAGGTGTGGATTTTTTCTATCCGAGTTCGAATTGTCGAAAAAATTTTAGCAAATATTCAATGCAGTCTCACACTGTATTATACACCCCTGAATAAAATTTTGAAATGATTTTATGTTCACTGCATTGGGCATGGAAAGTTTGGTTCTTGTACCGAATTGAATCATAGTATCACATGGTGTTTCGGAAATATTCAAGAAATATTATCTTCAGGAGCCTTCATTCAGAGGGCTGTAGGAGACATTTTTTGACTCATGTTCTTAGAAATGCTTCCTCTTACTTTTCGTTGTAGAAGCCGCTGGTGAAGTTTGGCAAACTATTTTAAGAACACATTGTATATGCATCTAAATATTCCAATTGTAAGAATGAGCTATCACCGAAGTGCATGTATAAATTATGCTTATCAGTAGATTTAGACAATTTTTTTTCGGACTCAGGTCCTGCGGCTTTCCTGATAATGGCATCGGGGTTGGAGAAACATGGTTCAGGAAGTAGCCAACCGTTGAAGTACAGCCATCTTGATATAGCTGCCTCTAGCGGTGACTTACCGAACCCAGCAACTGGTTCTCCAATTCTGGCTCTGGCCCAAGCATACTTACTTTGAAGAACTTATGATACCGATGTAACTTTTTCATCATTATATTATTCAAAACAAGATTTTTTTTAATTCAATTGTGCCTGTGAGAGATTTTTCCCTTCCAAGATTTTTCCACATCAGTGAAATAGCTAAGCTCTATGGGTGAACATTTATTCATCAGTGTGCATGACGAATTCATTAAAATGACCATAATCTTCAAGTTGAATATTATCGCAATCAATTTGACTATTAAAAATCGAAGCGCAGTTTTTTGTCACTCTAAAATAGTATATTGTGCAACAAGTGGGGAAAGTTCAACTTTTCTCACGAGTGTGAAAGTTTGTGGCACGAGCCTGAAGGGCGATACATGGTTTTGAAACTAAGTAAGCTATGAGAAATGCGCTACTTTTTATAGCAGTAGTAGAAAAACTAACTTATTGTATCAGGATACGAATCTTATTAATTGGGTTTCAAGTGTTGACCTGTTTATTTCACATGTATGAACAGTGTCATGCCTCTAATCGACAGTCAAGCTGCCGGCTAGTTGAATTTAATCTCAAATATCAGGTATCCTTGACCAACATCTATACATTCATTGAGGTATGCAGGAATTGCATGAACAGGATTTTGAGCGAATAACTACCTATCTTCACGAATGTACTTCAAAGATCAAGGATACCAGTTCAGAAAAATCCATATTGACACCGAACATAAACAGAGACTCTCATTCGATTCAGCGTGTCATTTTTCACTGGAAAAGCGATAATTCGCGTAAATTTTTGCCGTTTCCTGGCACTTTCAGCCGCCCGAAGATGGCTCGGTGACTATAACGTATGGAAGTCTCAGGTGGGAACATGAAAATTTTTATTTGGCCTATAAAAAATCTGAAAATATTCACATAGACTAATTCAATATAGAAAATCACCGAATATGTGGTGGAAATTGAAAAATTTCGAAAAATGGAGACGTAGTAGTCTACCGGAGTGCTCCTATTGGCAAAAAAAGCGAAAAGCTGACTTTGAGCGCCGATATCTCAAAAACTATCTGTCCTATGAGGCTGATTATGGTCTCATTCGATTCAGCGTGTCATTTTCTACTGGAAAAGCGATAATTCGCGTGAATTTTTGCCGTTTCCTGGCACTTGCGGCCGTCCGAAGATGGCTCGGTGACTATATCGTATGGAAGTCTCAGGTGGGAAAATGAAAATTTTTATTTGGCCTATGAAAAATCTGAAACAATTCACATAGACTAATTCAATATCGAGATTAACGAATCTGTGGTGAAAATTGAGAAATTTCAGAAAATGGAGACGTAGTAGTCTACCGGAGTGCTCCTATTGGCAAAAAAAGCGAAAAGCTGACTTTGAGCGCCGATATCTCAAAAACTCCTATGGGGCTGATTATGGTCTCATTCGATTCAGCGTGTCATTTTCTACTGGAAAAGCGATAGTTCGCGTGAATTTTTGCCGTTTCCTGGCACTTTCGGCCGTCCGAAGATGGCTCGGTGACTATATCGTATGGAAGTCTCAGGTGGGAACATGAAAATTTTCATTTGGCCTATAAAAAATCTGAAAAAATTCACATAGACTAATTCAATATAGAAAATCACCGAATATGTGGTGGAAATTGAAAAATTTCGAAAAATGGAGACGTAGTAGCCTACCGGAGTGCTCCTATTGGCAAAAAAGCGAAAATCTGACTTTGAGCGCCGATATCTCGAAAACTATCTGTCCTATGGGGCTGATTATGGTCTCATTCGATTCAGCGTGTCATTTTCTACTGGAAAAGCGATAGTTCGCGTGAATTTTGGCCGTTTCCTGGCACTTTCGACCGTCCGAAGATGGTCGGTGACTATATCGTATGGAAGTCTCAGGTGGGAACATTAAAATTTTCATTTGGCCTATAAAAAATCTGAAAAAATTCACATAGACTAATTCAATATAGAAAATCACCGAATATGTGGTGGAAATTGAAAAATTTCGAAAAATGGAGACGTAGTAGCCTACCGGAGTGCTCCTATTGGCAAAAAAGCGAAAATCTGACTTTGAGCGCCGATATCTCAATCACTATCTGTCCTATGGGGCTGATTATGGTCTCATTCGATTCAGCGTGTCATTTCCTACTGGAAAAGCGATAATTTGCGTGAATTTTTGCCGTTTCGTGGCACTTGCGGCCGTCCGAAGATGGCTCGGTGACTATATCGTATGGAAGTCTCAGGTGGGAAAATGAAAATTTTTATTTGGCCTATTAAAAATCTGAAACGCTTCACATAGACTGAGTCAATATCAAGATTAACGAATCTGTGGTGAAAATTGAGAAATTTCAGAAAATGGAGACGTAGACCGGAGTGCTCCTATTGGCAAAAAAAGCGAAAAGCTGACTTTGAGCGCCGATATCTCAAAAAATATCTGTCCTATGGGGCTCATTATGGTCTCATTCGATTCAGCGTGTCATTTTTTACTGAAAAAGCGATGATTCGCGTGAATTTTTGCCGTTTCCTGGCACTTTCGGCCGTCCGAAGATGTCTCGGTGACTATATCGTATGGAAGTCTCAGGTGGGAAAATGAAAATTTTTATTTGGCCTATGTAAAATCTGAAACGATTCACATAGACTAATTCAATGTCGAGATTAACGAATCTGTGGTGAAAATTGAGAAATTTCAGAAAATGGAGACGTAGTAGTCTACCGCGGAGTGCTCCTATTGGCAAAAAAAGCGAAAAGCTGACTTTGAGCGCCGATATCTCAAAAACTATCTGTCCTATGGGGTTGATTATGATCTCATTCGATTCAGCGTGTCATTTTCTACTGGAAAAGCGATATTTCGCGTGAATTTTTGCCGTTTCCTAGCACTTTCGGCCGTCCGAAGATGGCTCGGTGACTATATCGTATGGAAGTCTTAGGTGGGAAAATGAAAATTTTTATTTGGCCTATTGAAAATCTGAAAAAATTCACATAGACTAATTCTATATCGAAATTAACGATTCTGTGGTGGAAATTGGGGAATTCTTGATGATGGAGACTTAGTAGTCTACCGGAGTGCTCCTATTGGCAAAAAAAGCGAAAAGCTGACTTTGAGCGCCGATATCTCGAAAACTATCTGTCCTATGGGGCTGATCAGTGAATGATCTTTGATTCAATCGATACTGATGGTATGTCACTTCCTCCTCAGTATCTAAATCGATCTATTTTTATCAGAAAATATGCAGGGTGCTCGGCAGGTTTTGAAATGAAAAGCCTTTTATGTATTCTTTTCGATAACCCGCTGTATATGTATAAGCAGTAAGTCGAATGATGCAGCCTTGGGAAAAAAACATTATTTTCTCACCATTTTTTCTTCTCTAATGCCGCTTGTCACGTATATAATCTTATTACCTTGAACTTTATTAAATGATTCATTTCCTATTGATAGTCTCTCGATATTTGTGTTTTTATACCCTCTACCATTTAATTGTGTGTGATTATAAATATTCAGAGTCGATTAGCAATTAAAAGTGTTCTAATATGGCAAGTTCGGTTCTGAACTAGTTACATGCTCAACAAATTCTGCAAGTACAGGGTGACAATACTAGAAAACAGTATTTTGAAGAATTTCAAAGGCTTTTCGCCATAAAATTCGAATTTCACATCAAGATGTTGATTTTTATTTGAGTCCGAAGGTCATCATGTACCGAGTTCTGGATTGAGTAACTTTCAATCAAAATAATGAGAGCTAGGAGTGGTTACCATCATTAATACTAACACCCTATGTACTAATAAGATTGCGAAATCAGAAAATATAAGAATATTACAGTCAATTACATAAAATCAGTTCAATTTCCTTGATGTAATTATAAGACGCCATATCAAGGACATTCTTCTTAACAATAATATAAATAACTTGAATATGAAAAACAGAATATTAGACAATCATAGGTATATTACGTACTCGTATTATCAAATATGGAATATATTATCTTGTATGCGGAATAGACTTATCATTGGTTTTGTTGCCCTAGGAGATAACCATTTACAAGGAAAGCAATAATATTCCCTGGATTTTCAAAATGTACCATAAATGTCCAATAAAAGCTTAGCAGTCAGCATTGTAGCGTAATGTTATAAATGAATATCCTCAATGCACAAAAATTACAGGTATTATACAATAATAATCCAGGGATCAACTTAAAACTTCGTCTTTAAATACCTGATTAGAACCGCTGGCACATCAAAGAATGTATTATGGCTAATAAAATTAGATTGCCATGAAATTGCCCATCGCCTTATTGCAAACTAGTTTATGTATACTGATGATAGATTTTATATAGATGTCATAGTATGAAGTACAAAAAAATGTAATGATATAGTGTTGAGTTTGAATAGCTTACTGCTTTGTATTGAATAATTCTGTGAACATTTGATATAAGTTATCAAGTCAGTTGGTGAATATGCGAACTTGAAGTTGAATGATATTGAAGGGTTCAATAGGTTGGAGATAGACTAGCTCTAGAATACCCTGATGTATGCTTTAGGTTATAAAAGCGATCATTACATGACATTACATGAATCAATAGTTATTTATTATACAAGGGAAAAAAGTAGTAGATTTTCGCTCCAGGTTATGTTGACCGTGAGCTAAAATCTAATATTTTTCCCGTGTATAATACACTATTGTTTTTCTGTGACAAAAGAAACGACGAATCAATATTGAGAAGATATAACATTATTTTGAAATCTGAAAATTATCGACGTGAAATTTTTAGTTTTCAACAGTAGGGACACCTGCGTTGTAGCAATCTTTATCATTCTTTTGAAGTGATCAAATATCTGATGTCACTTCTGTCAGTCTCATTCTGTGATTTGATTCCAAAAATTTGCGAATTTAGAGGTTGTTTAGTAATATACGTAACCGCGAAGTCGAATGGAAGATAAAAGGACTTGCAGTTCTTTCTCGGAGACGGTATTATTAACTCATTTTTCGGAACTATAGTACAACAAAAGCCATCAACAATAGTTATTTATTATACAAGGGAAAAAAGTAGTAGATTTTAGCTCCAGGTTGTGTTGTCTCCCGACGCGTAGCGGAGGGAGACAA